AACGTGAGCTCCACTGGCAGCTTGTACCACACATTGCACTGTATTGCTAACTCTGAAACTAAGGGATCGGAATACCATAAACCATTCCACTGCTGAGCATTTTTGCAGAAAAGTTCAGCTAAATCTGTCTTTGTACAAATTAATCTGCTTCTCGTATTCCTTGACTACGGGACTAATCTCCAAAACAAAAGAAATGCTGATGTTTAAGGAATAAGAAACCACAGTCAGTGTTGTGAGAAAAAATAGAAAGAGAAGCGGCTTAGTACTTGGATTTCAAGACCAAATTTGATGCTTAGGAATGTTTCTCTGATTGGTGAAATAAGTGATGAGAGACCCTGCAAATAAACTAATTTTGCATTTTGTAATTATATGAATGCAAACTTGTACCTAGTCTTGATGATGCTGAGGGAGGCAGCAATGAACCAGAAAAGGCACAAAAAGATTTGTTATGATGGCAGCTACTTAGCAACACAAGCTGCAGGTTTTCCTTGATCATGTGTCAAGGCTGAACTAAGTGCAGAAGAGACCAGTGCTTCCAGTGCAAAGTTTCATCTTCACATCTGTGAGAAGCAGTTCCAGTTCATTAATTGTGGCAGGCTGCTCCCCAGGGTGTGAGTTGGGGTTGGGATCCCTGGGATCTCTCACTTTCAGCACTGAGCCTGTGGAATTACAGGGAGGCTCTGTTCAAAGCTGATGCTAAAAAGGTTTAAAACCAAGCCCAGGAAGAGCAGTCCCACCACATGCAAGAGGAATCTATCAGGAATATTTAAATCATCCTCACATCAGCTGCAAAGCCACCCCTGTCTCTCTTGTGCTATCCCCTTGGCAGGGTGACATGACCGTCAGAGCGTTGCAGGTGTCCGGCAGGTTTTGTTGATCACCAAGGAGCTGCTTTTGGTGAGGCACAACGGAGCAAGCAGCTCAGTCCCTGGTGCACACAGCCATGGAGGAAGGTTTCAGTGCAGCTTGGTCACCCAGAGCTGTTCCCTGCAGGTTGCTCTCAACAGGCAGAGCTGGGAAGGAGGACAATGAGCCTTCCCCAGGGAGCAGTGTCAAGTCTAGCTAGAGGGGTGCACACATAGCCTTACATAAAATTATTTTGCATTTATAGCACTTTGTTCTTATGACTTAGTAATGCCATTCGTGTTAGGAAAGGGCCCTTCTGATTCAGCATGATGTGCAGATCTTTCACGCCCCAAGGGAAACACAGTGGGTACCAAATCCAGCCAGATGTGCTGGGCATACATATAGTGGAGCCATAGGACTCTAAATCCTTAAGGCTGGGCTGAAAGTGAGAGAACTGTAGGTTTTCATTGCAAATGAGGTGGAGACATAAGGTCTGCCAGCTGTGGACATGGATTTAGCAGGATAGGAGACAGGGCCTGCAGTTTGGCTGCTGGGACAAGGATATGACAAAATTACCCACCCGCTAAACAAAAGTAGAATATGACAAAATTACCTGCATGTTGTACCCAGGTACAAACATGAACATGCTGTCTCTGTCATCTTTCTTCAAAACCCCTCTGTTTCTGTCATCCCTGAGGTCCAGTTTTTTCACAGGAACAAAGAGTTTTCTGCTTAATTTTAGGGCCAAGACTTTTCCATCAAAGGAACGAAAGGGTGATTAAACATGGGAATGGGCTGGACTCCAGTGATGGTCCCTGGAGGTGTTGAAAAAAAGACTGGATATGGCAGTTGGTGCCATGGTCTAGTTGACGTGATAGTGTTTGGTCATAGGTTGGACTCGATGATCTCAGGGGCCTTTCCAACCTAATTGATTCTGTGATTCTGTTGACCAGATTTCTGGAACCAGGGCTACATGTGCTCATTCTGTACTGTGAAACAAAGCACACCCTTACTTCACATGCAGAATAAGGTATCATGAGCAGAAAATCACAATCAAAACATGCTTACCATACTGGAAGGAAAGATGAGACTACTCTTACTCTCTAGGTTTTTGTGGTTACGTGCCCTTGTCTCTTAAGTATGGTACTTCTATTTTTGTATTAATGTGTGTGGTTTTAGTTAACAACTAAACAACAGTAATTTTTTGAACTGACACTTCCTTCCTTATTGTAAGAGGAGCTGAGCTGCAAAATGCCTGCATTGCCTGTACATGGCAATGCAGTACATGTGATCTAACTGTAAAGAAAATGGGCACATGTTTTAATGGTTGTGCCTGGTTGAAGGAGGCAGCACTATGAGAGAAGGGTACCACAGCTGTCAGATTCCTGTAGTGTAGCAACTGGCTTACACACCATTTCTGAGAGAGAAAGCTTGGTCTGATGTTCTTCTGCCCAAAGGGAAAATGGATGCTTGTTCTGCAGTGGCCCCAAGTCTGGTACTCAACTGCGAGCTGCCAAGAGTTCCCTGGCAGCCTTCGACTCAGGGTTTGCCTGCTCCACAGAAGGTGACATTTTCCTCAGAGAGGCACTGTGCAAGAATGCACAGAGGACACTCCTCGCTGAATGGCACTTGAGAAGCCACCTGGACTACAAAGTTCCACTCTTCTTCCTCCCTGACAGAGGAATTTCCCAGCCTGTCCTATGAAAGCTCGATTGTGCTTACCCAGGGTGAAGCCCACATGAAAGAATCCTGTGAAGATGACTGAACTGTGTGCCCCGACATCCCACTCCTACATCTCGTCACCTCACGTGCATCACAGCTGCAGAGGAAAGCTGCTACTCTCTTACCTAGCACAGCACAACCTGCCAGTGGCAAAGGTGAGAAGCAGGACGGAGGGAGCATCTCTCACCAGGAACCTTACAGTTAGGACAAAGTTCCTGCACCCAAGTCACTGATGCTCAATCAGGTCTTCATCACTTGGGAAAGGCCTAGACAAGAGCACCAGGAAAAGGTACTCTTAAGAAAAATCAAGCTGGTTTCACATGAGTGTCACACAAGTGTTAGTAATGAATGTTCGTCCATGACTCTTTTCTGCCTACTCCAACAGAGAACTACCAAGTTAGCACCAGGTTTTAAATCCATTGACGTAACTTAAAACATTACAGTAAATTTGGATGTGACGTTCAAAGCAAAAAAAATAGTGTTTCAAGGTCATTGGACAAGCCTGCTACAAAAAACCTGTACATTATTTGAAAACTTTAGCTTCTAATTACTGCTGTTCAAAATAATTCTGTTCCAAACACAGGATAAAGAAATCCTGTTTAAACAAAAGGTACACTACCTTTTAGGTTGCGGAACGCATAATTTGATAAATCCTCATTACAACACAGAGTTTGCACATGTTTAAAACACACCCTCCTATAACTAGCTTTTAGATCCCAGTTAAATGTAGTAGAAGCAGCTAAAATAGTTCCTTACAAATTGTAGTTTCTCTGTAATTTTTTCATTCAATCAATTAAATTAGATCTTCTTTTTCAAGCTTAGGGTTTAGAAGCATGATAAAGTCTGGTAGGCATGAGTTCTTGATGAAAGCCATGTAACTGTGGGCAAAAGTCCAAGAAAAGAAGATTTAAAGCAGTTAATTTCCTGGTGACTGAAGGATGTGTGTGAGGTCATACGCATTTATCTTCAATTGTGACTCTGTATTTCCTTCTGGAAATAGAAGGCATTTCATGGCATTTCTGCACTAGAGTTTTAATTTTAGAAGACCTCACTGTAAAAAGGATGAAGTATCTAAGCAACCTAGAGGAGAATCCTAAATTCCTAAAATATTTAAAGTACTATGAGGTGGAAACAGCCCACAGAAAAATGTCATCATCTCTCTACTACCAACTTAAATATCTTCCAGCACCACCATTGAGGACTGAGGTAACCTACTCCCTCCATGTCTAAATTGGTCTCACAGAGCCAGAAAACCATCCTCAGAAAAGTCTTTCCCAGAAATCACATTCCTGAATATCTGTTTCGTGAGTCTGCAACTGTAGTCATTTGGCTCTCAGTTATTTTTCTCCAGTGTTGGCGATTTGTTGTTTCTCTCAAATGTTCATCTGGCTCTGTTTTGCTTAATCGTAGTGTCTCCCAAAGGTCTGCACTAATGAGTTTCTGCATTCATGCCATATGCTTACTTTGCCATGGAGAAGTTTAGTTGTACAGAAAACAGATTTTGAGACTCTTTTTGTTCCATTTCTCTTCTGTCTTCAAATCTGAAAGGTCTTCTAGGCAAAAGAGGCTTCTCGGGTCCCTTCACCCTGCTAGTTAGAATCAGACCACATCTAAGCAATGTTCCTACTTAGACATGTAACAAAACTTCAGAACTAACTGTCCAGTTCCTTCTTGATGTGGATTTATGTTAACTCGCTTTTTTGTAGTCTTCGTTTGAAATCCCAGAGGCCAAGGTCATCCACACACTCAAAAAGTATTGGCAACCCTCGGTGACAGGAGACACCAATTTCCTGTTGAAGGAGCTGTGCTTCTCAGGGTGGTGTTTACAGCCAGGCAGGACAGGGGAGGACTGCTTCTGAGCAAGGAGAGGTTTCAGAAGGTTTTAGGAGGCTTGAGGAAGCTGGAAGATCAGCACCAGAGCACAAACTTCCCGGGAAAGACCAGGCCAGCTGCCCTGGAGGTAATCACAGCTAGCAGGCTACCTAATTGACAAAGACAACCCAAAAGAGCTAAATATCCCAGACAGAGCATATAAAATCTCATTTAAAATTATCCAGGCAGGATACAATCCAACAGGGAATGTTCTTTACAAGGAAGTCCACAGAGGACTATTAATGGGGAGACCAGTGATGACTGGCATTCCTCAGGGGTTGGTGTTGGGACAGGTGGTGTTTAACATCTTTGTTGATGACATGGACAGTGAGATCCAGTGCACCAAGCTGTGTGGTGCAGTCAACACACTGGAGGGAAGGAATGCCATCCAGAGGAACCCGGATAGGCTTGAGAGATGGGCCTCTGCAAACCACACTGTGGTGGGGGCTGGAACGAGATGATCTTTTAGGTCCCTTCCAATCCAAACCATTCTACGACTCTGTGATTCTATGATTTGCCCCCCGGGAAGCCGCCCCCGGGCCTGCGCGGGGCCACCCCTTCCCCCCCGGCAGGGGAAAGGAGTGAGGGAACTTCGCCAGCATGGCTTTGTGCCCTCGTGAGAAAGGAGAGTAGAAGCCTCGGAGCACACAGAGGTTTGCCGGTCTGGTTTGGGGGAAGGGGGGTGGGAGGGGAAGGGTACCGGGTGGGCCGTGGGGGTCCTTGGACTGGAGGGTGGGCAGGTAAGCAGTGTGTGGGAAGATATGAGGTAACACAGTGGGGGGAGGATAAGGTCAGGGTGGATAATGGTTTCCTCTGGTGGGTTGGGGGTCTCGGCCGGGCTGGGGCCTGGAGAGGTACTCAAGCCCTAGGTGGGTACAGGGGCCAGAACGGTTTTGTTCATTTGTTTGTTTTTGGCTCACCTGCAGCTACTGCCCAGGCTCAGTATGTTCTGGATATATTCGTTACATCCTGAAAGGGTGGTCAGGACAAAGGGTTGTTCCTGGGTGTTTCCTTGGGATTGAATACAAATAGGTGGCAGAAAAGTAAGAAGTGTAAGACTTGCCGTAATTGTTTTAATAGTAGGAATGTAGCCTGTGTAACCCTATGTGGTTGTGAGCTATGTTGGCAATGGCACATGCCTTCGGTAGGGTCGCCCATGCCAGACAGGTCAAAACCATAGGGTCAGATACAATACATCCTTGGGCAGGATGAGCTCGTTAGCCTTCTGGAAGTCATCCTAGGAGAAGGACAACTCTAATCCCAAACCTGGGCAGATGGAGCTCACTTAGCCCTGTAAGGCCATCCATCTAAGAGAAGGTCATTCTAATTAAACCTGCATCCTGAGGACCTCACTGCCACCGTCCAAGCTCGCTCGGCCCTGGCAGATGAACCTTAGGATTAAAGGCTGGGTTCAGTTCCACGCAAACTGCATCTCACCTAAAAATCCATTGCACAGGCTTGAAGGCTTTACCCACATGCAAAAAACCCTGTAGCGATGGGCAAGGGTCGAAACGGCAGGTGAAAGGTGCACTGGAAGCCCTAGACCCAACCCTGCATGCAGGCGGTTCAGGATATTGGTAATTTGAGACTGACCGGAGATGACAGTCTCTTGGGGCAGCACCGTGAACGACCAAGCAGCCTTTTCAAGGACAGCACTGCTTGGTCCACTCGGAGAGGGACCTAGAAAAGGTGGCCTAAACAAAGTTCATCTCCAGTTTCACCTGGTTGTTAACTGCAGACCAACAGGCATCTTCTTCCAATGCGGTCGCACAAAGATCAAAAGACAAAGTCATGCACCTGCCACCAAAGATGTACCTACATTAACTCTAGCATGTTGGAATATCAGAACCATGCTTGATTCTGTGGATAGTGGACGTCCTGAGCGTCGTTCTGCCCTAATTGCCCATGAACTGGCTCGTCTCAGCACTGACATTGCTGCTCTCAGTGAAGTTCGCCTTCACAAGGAAGGCAGCCTCAGAGAACATGGTGCCGGTTACACACTCTTTGGTCAGGTAAACCTAGAACCAAAAAGCGTATCTCAGGAGTTGGCTTCATGATCAAAAACTCTATTGTTCCTAAACTCAAAAATCTGCCGACAGGTCATTCTGACCGCATTATCTCCCTACGCATTCCACTACACAAGAAGCAACACCTTGTCCTCTTCAGTATATATGCCCCAACTCTCCAAGCTGACCCTGCTGAAAAAGATAAATTTTACACTGACCTGCTCCACCTTAGCCAAAAGGTGCCTACAGATGCTAAGATCATTATCCTTGGTGATTTCAACACCAGAGTAGGTAAGAATTTTGAAGCCTGGAAAGGAATATTAGGCAAGCATGGTGTTGGAAACTGCAACGATAATGGTTGACTTCTGCTAGAATTCTGTGCGGAGCAACAGCCCACCATCACTAATACTATCTTTCAACAGAAAGATAGTCTGAAGACAACCTGGATGCACCCCAGATCTAAGCATTGGCACCTCATTGATTATGTCTTGGTGCGACGGAGGGATGTCCACGATGTCCACCATACCCGCATGATGCCCAGTGCAGAATGCCAAACAGACTATCAGCTTGTGCGCTGTAAACTTAACTTCAATCTTAAATTCAAACCTAAAAGGGGCAGTATCCCAAGGAGAAGACTCTAAGTTAACAGTCTCCAATCAGCCACAGTAAGAGACAGATTCCAGGCAAACCTTCAAACTAGGCTTGAAAACCATTCCATAGATTCTACAGATTCCTCTCCTGAAACAATTTGGCACCATATGAAAAACAGCATCCTGCAATCCTCTGAAGAATCCTTAGGGTTTTCCTTCAAGAAGAACAAGGACTGGTTTGATGAAAACAATCAAGAGATCCAGGAATTGTTGAGGAAGAAGAGAACCACCCACCAAGCCCACCTTGCACTGCCATCCTGTCACACAAGAAAGATAGCCTTTTGTCTTGCATGCAGCAAGCTCCAACAGAAACTCCGTGACATCCAGAACAAGTGGTGGATCAATCTAGCTGAAAAAACTCAATTATGCACAGATACGGGTGCTCACAAAGGATTCTGTGAGGCCCTGAAAACAGCATACGGGCCTACATACCAGGTCCAAAACCCTCTACTCAGCGCAGATGGTCAAACGCTTCTAACAGATACACCCTCCATTCTGAATCGATGGTCTGAACAATTTTAGATTCTTTTCAGTGTAGTCCAAGACTCAGCAATTCAGTCCATCACACAACAACCAGTGAAGTACAAATTGGATATTGCCCCTACTATGGGAGAAATCCTCAAGGCCATACAGCCGGTGAAAATCAGCAAGGCAGCTGAGGTTGATGGAATTCCACCTGAAATCTGGAAACATGGGGCCTTGCACTCCATGCCAAATTTCATGAGTTTGTGATGCACTGTTGGGAACTAGACGAACTACCATCAGACCTTCGCGATCCAGTCATCATCGCTTTGTATAAGAAGAAAGGAATTAAATCAGACTGCTCAAATTACTGTGGTATTACTCTGTTCTCCATTGCTGGCAAAATCCTGGCAAGAATAGTCTTGAACAGACCTGCTATAGCAGAAGGAATTCTACCTGAAAGCCAGTGTGGTTTCAGAGCCAACAGCAGTACCGCAGACATGGCATTTGTTCTCAGACAACTGCAAGAGAAGTGTAGGGAACAGAACAAAGGTCTCTATGTAACCTTTGTTGATCTCACCAGGGCTTTCGATACTGTGAGCAGAAAAGGTCTGTGGCTGATTGTGGAACATTTAGGTTGTCCCCCCAAGTTCCTTAAAATGATCATCTCACTCCATGAGGATCATCTCACTCCATGAGGCCAAGTCAGATATGGCAATGCACTTTCTGAGCCCTTTTTAATTAAGAATGGTGTGAAACAAGGCTGCGTTCTCGCACCAACCCTATTCACAGTCTTTTTCAGCATGATGCTCCAAAGGGCCACGGCAGA